AAGTGTTTGATGCATGGTGTCTTTTGACGCAGGTAATATGAACTGGGAGCAGCAGACTGGTTCTTCAGTGTCGAGCGCTTTTGTGATGGTGGAACCTAGAGGATTGCAGAAGTTACCATCCTTGAAGAAGTCACCAACAGCATCGGTGTTTCAACACGAATCCTTTCGTAGTTCGGCTACTACGCTGACTGCTCCCCCGTTGCAGGATCCCCCACCTATACTGCCACCGTCTCAGCCGCTAATCTGCGCCACCATCAGGGCCTCCACACCGCAGAGTAAAAGCGATGGCGAAGATGCCGCTTGTGCGTCAAGCACCGTCAAGGCTAACGGCCTCACACCCCGCCCCACGCCTCCAAACGTACCCGCGAGCAACGGAAACAGTTCGCCCCAAATCGTAACTTCGAAAATACTTGTTCTACTTTCTATTAAGTAAATACAGTATAACAAGTTCATTATGCGGTTTTAGGACCAGCGGAAGACCAGCAAAAGTAGTACAAGCACTCGGAAGCCCTTGCTAGACACCTCCGATGAGACTCCGATCGGTACTCTCAAAAAACCATAAAAACCACTTATTTGAATAGGAAACTTGCTCCCCATCTGTACACTGATCTACTGACCTCATCTATACCTTCCCTTCTATTATAATGATAACCGGTGACAAAAATGTGTAAAGTGGCATACATGTGTATGCACTCTTCATTCGCTGCACATATGTAGTCTGATCCTTTAAAATGCGACTAGATTTATTTGTAATTCAATGTCAAAGGTGGTGAATCGTATTCCAAACTATTGGGTTTCTTTCCCCTTATTTAAATGTTGTTTTGACAGTCATTAAATACAAAGAATCATTGAAACTTGTTGAATTAGCTCTCTTATTAGCTTTATTCTCCCTTTCCTTCACAATTGCCAATCAAAGTACGCGCTACTCCTATAGTTTGGTGCGGTGACGAAAAAGTGAAGCATAGAATAGTGAATAGCTGCGCTGACTGCTATTTTTCTCACTAGACTCAGGTCACAGTGTACCTTATTTAAAACCCAAGCGCATCAGGAATTAGGATTGTGAACGTCTCTACATAGCGGATGGTGATCTTTCTATCATTCTACTGAGTTGTTATTTTGTGATTTGAAATGCTACCTATTACAATGGGGACTAAGGAGGGGACTTGGCCCTCTCTCACTCCCTAGCTCATGCGATCGTGCACACCGTAGATGGCTGTCTCTTAGCGCTGGGTACAGAAGCTGTGTTCTCGCTACCCCCGATAATCATTTAACAACCAAATTGTAACCCTGCCAATAGTTCAGCTTTTCGCATGCATCACTGATCTTCAACTGTTTTGCATTTTATTCCCTAATTCCGAACTTCACATACTATGTGCGGGGTAGACTGCTTAATCTAAGACACACCGTCTTTGTTATTCTGCACTGACTCAGCTTTTGCATACTTACCATGTTGAAGGCATGGAGTGCCCAACAAGGTTCCCCTTTGTCTAGTGGTCATTAATCTCGGCTTAGTCAATTCCATTTCAATTTCATTCAGGCTTGTATGTGGTACACCATTTCTTTATTACCATTTGACTAATGATGATGCCTAAATTTTAGTTTCCAGCCTCCCACTAATCACCTAGCTCTAGTTCCTAGGTTTTTTTCTGTGATTATTAAGCACTTCCCAATGCACTTAGGCATCATGTAAATCCCTTTGAAAATTATTAAATTTCTCGATAGTAGCTGTTAAGAGCTGGACAAATCGCGTTGGGATTTGCAATTACTATGCGAGTAGAGCCATAGCATTCGTACTCGAGGTGTGGTAATGTGGACGTGGCTCTTCCTATCATTTTGATTACAGAGCAAGTTTAATATTGACATGCAAGCTTCCACGGACTAAGTAGCTTTGCTAATGAACTAACCATCACCGTTATTAATAGAGCATGACTAATTCACAAGAGTGGCCTACAAGTGTTATGACACAACGGTATGGGTTTACTTTGACTAAGAAATATTATTTATTCTTTCTAATGCAAAGGGTGGACTCATTTTGCATGTGACCCATCCCTTTTCCCAGTCTCATTTCTTTTGCATTGAGCTCAAGTCTAGATACACACCAATTTGTGCAATACAATTTTGTCCTACGAAAACTTCCTTTCACATACCTCGCCTCTTGCACTGCCGCAATACCGTAGTCCAACTCCCATACTTATTAATAGGACTAATTGCGAGAAATTAAAAATTCTTTGTTTGAGTTCTTAATTTGTTTATAAAATATCCAATGGAATTTGGCTTGGCTTTCAAAGTATCCGGTGGGTATTTGCTCAGAAAGTATGCCTTTACTTGTAGTTTACGCCTACTTTTTACAAAAGACGAAGTCTTTAGATGGAAGGAACCACGTAAAACGAAATAGTGTGGAAGAATGTTTTGAGTCACAATTAAGTTACGTTATTAACCTCTTGAATGAATTTCGGGTGGAAGAAATTCCCATTGCATTGGACATTGAGGGTCTTAAATGAATGCACACTTATGCACTAGAACTATATTCTTCAAATTTTTCCATTAATTAGACAAAAGAGGTATGGGGTTGGTTTTTGATGGTTTGAATACTAGGAGGCTTATGCTATTCTACTTTTTTGTCGATATTAAGACTTAAAGGGCACTAGCTGAGTAACTCGAAGGAGATTACCGCGTTCACTTAAAGCTATTAGATATTAAGGATTGTTGTGGCTTAAAAGCTCCTGCAGATATCTCAGTTTGCTGAGCTCTAGAAAATAGTTTAATTATAGCTCCCGTCGCGCAGTTTGTCTGAAGATAGACCTTCACTCCCAAAAACCTGGAGCATGGATTATGAAACCTCTTATTTAGCATAATGGTTAGTGAATTAACAATCCGAGGACATATTGCTTTAATTATTCGTCAAAGACTGGTTAGGTGTGCAACTTTTGCGGTTTTTTCACACCTCAAATCAAAAAATATGGCACGTATGATTGATTCTAGTTTCTTGAACTCTGACACCGCTACATGTCTAATCAGAGATCAGGTAAGTAAAGAGAAGGAATACTACCTCACAGACCCATGCAATGGAGCGATTTAGAACTTGCGCCGCCATGACAGGCCCCGACTCCTGGGTTCACGGTTAAAGTCATGTCCATTTACTGCCGCTTGCACAGATAGGTAAATACAGAGGCGTGTGCATATGTATGGGGTCTTGGGTCTGATTCATGTAATTCACGAACCCACCGGTATCATTTCGACACGTTTGCTTAAGCCTCTAGCTTCTTCGTAAACACTAGAGCTGAAATCGCCTGCATTCATAGTTGTGTACCCATGCCGTCATCTATGTGCACCCCTTCAAAGTAAATAAAGAGTGCTGAAAACAAAAAAACATCTGCAAGTTCAAATGAGCTCGAATAAATCAGAACATGTTTAGGCGCATGACGAAGCGTAGCACTTATCCGGGTATAGTTCGCTTACCGCGTCATAAGCAGTCACATACACAACGCCTGTTAGCGGTGCCTAAGTTTTTTTAAAGTCAAGTTTCATTTTTACGTTTCAGGATGCATTGTGATAATTAAGTAACACAAAATGCTAAAATTCTAGAACTTAGAAACGAGTGTTGCTGCATTATGCATATTATTGGAGCTAAAGTAAGGTATACCACTGCAGAAAAAGTCTATTGTTTTAACAAAACGCAAAAATAACACCTGACGATGGTGACCGACTAAACAGATGAAAAAATTGTCTGCAGCATTATTTTCGATCGCATGGCAAACAGCCTCTCGATTTTTAGCATCTGTAGCTCGCGTCACGTTTCATTTGAAGTAATCAACCAACTGTCTCATTTAACCTAACTTTTCCTTTTATTTAGTGGCACAGAAAATTAGTGTTTCGTGAAAATGTTATAATTTGCGCCAGCATCAAATGACACTTGCCGCAAAACTCTACGATAATGCGAACGACTTGGTAATATCGGTGTTTGTGAACATAACTTGTTAGTACAAGGCATTTGAAAAAATTAAAAGCTTTTAATGGCCGTTTAATGACTTGATGTGGCTTAGAAATGCGTTAAGATTGCTCTAAATAATCTTGTCTCGTAAAGGTTAAATTATCAAGAATAGGTCGACCAATTTTTTGGTATTCAAGTCACTTGTAGGCTGGGGTTTAAATCCTAGAAATACTTTTGGTTTCCTGTGAATTACCTCACAGGCATATTCCAGTCTTAAATTTTCATAGATATGAGAAAACGGGGAGGTTAGTTACTTTAGGGCCTATTTACAAGACTCCTTGGGCTACTATAATTTATGTTCCCCATTGCCGTCGTGCTGTTCATGCCACCACTAGATTTGCGAACGCCTTCTGGTTTGAACAGTTGGATGTACGTGGCCCTAATGGAGGAGACGGAGCTGCGGGCCTTCATAAGTTATCCATCCCAAAAACACTTCAACTGAGCAGTCAGTGGTATATTTTGTTTAAAAATAATAATCAAGTTCTGAAACATAGCATTTCATCACTTATGATATATTCTTGTTGAGAGAAGTTTACTAATGCATTTTCCTATGCGCTTTTTCATCAAAGTTTATGAGTTATAAGGAGAAACATTACGCGGGTAAAGAATTTACGAACTCATAAAAATTTCAGAAGCTTACTTTCTCTTCATCTAGACTTACTTAAAATTCACTGTACTCAATTAACTAAATATTAGCAGATCCTATAGTAACCTTTAAATAAACAAGTAACTAAATAAATTAATTAATAAGGATCTTATTACCTCCTACACTTTGGAAATTCGAATGGATAAGTATGTCATGTATTGAGGCGCCTCAAACGGACTTGGATGGTTTGGTAAAAGTTTTGATGCCAATCATGCGTACGTGTGTACATGTACGTTGTTTATAAAAGTGGTAGACCTATGGCCTGAAGGCATGCAGACAGAACTGATGATATATTTATATACGTATACATATTTGAACCCCATCTGCCTACGAATACGCACACAAATTCAAATCAACACAAAAATGTTGATGACGACGTCGACAACGGTGAGACGCGTTGCTCTGTGCTCCATGACAGCGAGGCTACTGCTTCTGACGCCGCTACTCCTGCTCAGGGCCAATCCTATGCGAGGTCAGGCATTAGCACCTGAACTACCCGAGGAATACCAGCGAAAAAAATACGGGCCTCTCTTCCAGGGTGTAAATCTCTGCGCATATAAAGAGGTTCCTCAGCCAAGCGGAGAAAACCTCATGGCATGGATTTGTGGCCCGGTAGACGGAAAGAACGCGTAGGTTTAAGATTTTGTAGCTCCCAAACAATTTTTTGTACTGATCTTGCTTGGCACACTTTAACACTAACAAAATTATCAATATAGAAGCATAGATTTAAATACGGAGAAAGTAAACATGATATACATATTTTTGCATCGTACACATTTTGATCATATTTTCGTAAAACCCACTGTATTATAGCCGATCCCTTTAGCTCCACACACAAAATTTTGTTTCATTCGATCCGATGAATGTTTTGGACTGCATGCAGATTTTTTGTGTGTATTTCCCTCCTCAAGTAAAACTCTCCCACTGGTGAATTGATTTTTTCCGTTGAAACGTAAGCAGCCGAACTTTTGACTTCATTAAAATGCTTATATGCAGAAAGAATGCAAAGCATTATTCGCATATTTCTGCATTTTGGTATAACGAGACTTTACACGAAAATGAATAAAACTGGCGTTTTTCCCAGAGTAATTATTAAAAACACCAAATTATGCGCCATTTGGCCTAGGGAAACAAAATTTGTAATCTTTAAATGTGGTTTGGGTTAACATTAGTGTTTGTCGCGAAACCTAATTTCGATCAAAGCGATGGTGTGATTTTGAAATAGGAGCTAACTACAAAACCTGTCAGGGGCTCACAGGTTGTCTAGTGGCGATAGCTGCCGAGGGGCGCACACACCGAATTACTCTAGGTTTCGGTTTGCTATCAGCTGCGGTATTTATAGCAATTTGAAATTTGTGTATATTGGCAAGTAGAAAAGTGTAGTCTTTTCTTGAGTGTAGTCGCTTATTTATGCTACAGTTTTTTGCTAAGAAGGTGGTCTCAGTTTCAGGGATCATAAAAGGTAGCATTACAAATAAGTATATTGGCTTATTATTTCAGAGACAAAGTTGTCGCGGTTTTGTGCAATTAAGCTTCATGCCCGTACATGGTAGTCAAAATATGATTGAACTTGTTTTACATGCAAAAATTAATAGCCGGATTTTAAAGTTTGTTTTTATTTCTAGTCAGTCTCTAAATCACACATTATTATCGTTGAAATCATAGTTAAGAGGCATGGAATGATTGGTAAATAAATGCTCATCACAATTACCTTGCATGGATTTGAATAGTTCTGAGCAGAAAACATTCTTGCGTAATATCTGGTAATGGCATGTTTACGGTTTATGGGTTATAAATACAAGCGTTTCCATCAAAATCTACTAAAAATAATCAGCAACAGGGAGGCCAAGGTCTAAGCCCTCGGATTGAACACCACGAGGTCATGGTTGTCCGTTTCTTCCTGTAACGAAGACTGGAGGAATAATTTTTCTTTTAATTTTGCTTTTCAAGCATATTCTACTGGATTATTTATTGAAACTGATAGTCGTATAAATTCACTCCAAAGGTCCCTATGCATATTCGTTTTTGTTGTCGCTGTCAGTGTTAAAAACAGTTACATTCAATGTTAACATTTTGGTTTACGCTAAAGAAAAAATTCAATGTAATTAGTGCATTCCTGTGTGCCATCTACATTGCAAAGTCTTGCCATCAACACTGACAATTGGTTGCACACAGTGGATTGGATGCTAAACAGAGGGAGACATATTGGTGATATTAGCTCAATCCATGGCTCGAACTAGGGAACTTGCGAGCACTTGAAATCACTTAACGGGGATAATTCTCCTATCAGGTTATGAGTCATACTATAGACTAGGTGAAAGTGATGAGATAGCGTTGCTTCTTGAACTTCCACTAGTGGAAAAGTCGAGTGGTTTTATGCACAGTATGAAAAAAAACAGTGGGATTTCATACAGCCGTAAAAACGCAGGCGTATTTACGGTTGACACTGTCGTTAGTGCGAGTTATTCTCAATTTTGGCTTTTGAATCTCCAGAATAATCAAATACGACTGCTGCCCCGGCTACAAAAGAACTCCCATAGTAAATAACGAATGTGTTGAAAAGAATCCCACGTACATGCCCATAATTCCAACGCTAGCAGAAATGAATAAGGTGGAAACTGCTGACATTCTCCACAAGGTTGAGTCAGCCTTGGACAAGGATGGAAGGGACTTCACAGTCTTCGTACCAGAACAGGATTCCTCCTTACAGACTGTGTAAGCCATGAGTTCGTTGATTTCGTTATTGTAATCTTGACGGTAGGATGAAGAAAAACTGACAGTATTAAAATGCTATTACTTACCAGTGTTGCTGCTCACTTTTTTTAAGAAATTTGAAGAATTCAGTTTCGATGAATCTTACTAACCTTTCTTTTCGTCTACAGTCTAGAGCGTGACATTAGTAATCTCATTATCGACGGTCGCCACTATTCCGGTGAATTCACAAATGGTGCAAATATTGTTACCGAGAGCGGTTATCCGTTAAAAGTCTCCACCTACCGCAATGGGGTAGGTTACTATCTTTCCATGTTTTGGGCATTGCAGTGCGATTCAAACAATATAAACATTAGTCATGAAGTGAATGTCTGCGCTACAAATAACTCTAAAGGGTGCCCCTAAAAATGTAATAAAGCTTAGTCGGCAATTTTTAGAGAGAATATTGGACTTCAATAAGGAAATTCTCCCATTGATCCTTTGATGAACAGTAAATGCATTTTCACATTCTGCTTTCAGCTAGTCTTTGTGGAATGTCAACTCCTCACAAAACCGGACTATGAAACCTCAAACGGTCTCATCCACGTAACTGGCGGAGTGAGTTTTTTCTTCCCTCTACAAAAAATGATAAGGGTTGTTGTCATTCAGATACGTGGGGCGCAAATGCATTTACTTACAGGAACCAAGTTCATTAATACCACCTTATTTGCCAGTACGAATTCGTCGAACTGGCAACTTATGAATGTGAATTTAGCGTGAGTCAAAAATTAATGTTAATGTAATAACGTTAAAAATTTTAAAATAATTTTGCGTAGATTTTTAAGTGCATCATTCATCACAGCATTGCATAAAATAGGGTGTTTCCTTGCTCCAAACAGCCCATTGATGCGTCGAACAGGTACAGTTCAGTAATTCAAAGGCTCGAAGCTGACCCGGATCTATCGGCATTTACTGCTGATATTCCCACCGATCTTCGTAGTCAACTTGGTGCTGCTAACAGCATGGAGAGGTATACAGTGTTTGCACCTACCAACAGTGCTTGGCAAGTTGCCAAACGGGGTGTCAATGGCCCACAGGTAAGTGAATAGATGAGATGGTACTTACCATAATTAAGTAAACGGCGCCATAACTACACTAATTTCTACTAAAGGGAGTTGCTAATCTCGTGAAGCAACACATGCACGATGGACTAGTATGTGGTCAGTCATTGGACGACCAGCTGAGGTTGCTGGGTCCTTCAAAGTCGAATACGTTCGTTCGTGGTATGCAGCAGCCTGATGGATCAAGAGTGCTGAAGGATTCGTGCGGAGCTAAAACTACCTTCCAAAAAATGGATATGATGGCAGGGAATGGAGTTGTTCATAAAATCGACAATGCTCTAAGAAGTCCTGCATGTAAGTTGATCACAGCTTATAAATGCGCCTATTCACAGCCTAATTTTACTTAACTTTACTTTACATTGAATGCTGATGGTAATTTATTGTTTTTCAAAGCGATGGATTTCCGCAGTGCTCTGGATTGTCTTGCTAGTGGTCTGGACCCGGAGTTGAGTCAGGGGGCTCGTGAAATGGCTGCTTGCGCCATCGACGTCCAGCCGAGTGACGATGTTGTTGTCCTTCTCCCAACACCAGAGGCACTTCGCTGTAAGCAGAGACACTCCGTTGAACAAGAAGGAAAATAATCTATATTGGTTTATATGAGAGCAAATACTCTGTTATTTAGCAACAGGAGGTTTGGACAAATGCTCGCTTTACCAGAATCATGTCCTCACCTCACAAGATTGCAAGATGAAGAATGGACATGGAATAGGCACGCCTCAAGAGTGCCTCTATACCACAAAGTATACTACTTCGGATGGTCGCCATCCCACTGTAGCCAATCAGTACATCCGCACAAGGGACGGCAGCCGGGTAAATCAATCACCAACAACCAGTGCTCAGAATCGGCCATCCGAAATGTTGTTGCTGGCTCTCTATTCGATTTCTCTGTTACATTATTTAGTTGCACTTTGGAAAAGCGGAGACCACCGGTCTGAAGCCAATACCATTTAGAGGCGGTGTTATCTACCCAGTTTCATCAGTCAACCCACCTCCGATCAAAACGATGATGGAGATAATTAGGGACGATCGCGAACTCAGGTTGGTCGATTGGGATGTTGGAGTAGGAGGATTAAAAAGGCGCCAAATATCCACTTCACCTTATTATTCGTTTCAGTGATACATATGAAAAGATGCAACGTGCAGACTTCGGCAGCATTCTCAATCGAAATTCCCCGAATGTTGTTTTCTTTGCGCCTCAGAATCATGGGTGGAAAACTAGAGACAAGGAGAATGCTTATAGACCAGGCCAGTTGCGAAAGGTACATCCGCTTCAAACCTCGACATGATTTAACTTAGATACAAGTAGTGCTTGATAGGATTAATTTTATATCGAAGTGTATAATCTAAATATTTCTATTATATTATGGTAGTGCCACTCTCGAAGTTGATCCCAAGATCGTTTATTCACACATTCAATTCATTTGTAATGTTTTAGGTCTTAGGACATGGAGAAAACACCGTAATAAATCCAATAGAAACCATTTTTCTTTTTAAACATCATTTTAGAACGTTTCCTTATGGTAATTGCTGGAGGCATAATTATGATAATTGAGGACCCTGAATGATGCCCCTCTCTTACTGCTTTAATTCGCTACTCAAGCTCTTTGAAATGCATACCCTGCCACATCAATTAATCACTGGTAAAGACGGGAACGTTGAATCAGAGACTATACAGAACGTTAAATCACTCTCGGGAACGGATATAAAGATCAAACGAAATTTGGATGGCAATACCTTCATCGGCTACGACGGTCTTGATCCAAGCCACTGGGTATGATCCCTAAATGTCCCCTTTCGTAAAGCATCACTTTGGCCGTTTCATTCATACTGTTAATCAAATATCCACGATTGAATTTCATACAAAACATACCCCCATAACTTTCCTGCACTTTCCAAAGAAGAAATAACTTGGGTAACCTGGAATTGTATCAAAGTTAATACATGTATTTGATTTGTAGGCGCTGGCTATCGGAGACCCAATACTCGCCAGCGATGGAGTCATCTCGGTTGTAGACTGGCCTCTTGTCTGTAACAACTGCTAACGGGTATTCTAAGAGCCTCCTTGGTGTTGATGTAGATTACCCCCGTTGATCAGTTACCCTTCCAATGTCTCATTCTTGATTCCGTTTGCAACTGGTGGACCTTTTACTGTTCCCTCCTTTCCTTAGCTTCCCTTCAATGAGATAATTGCTGTGTTCCCACAACTAAAGGTGCTTGTTTTGATAGTACAAAAGTCGAATGCTTGGGTACTCATTGCGAATGCTGAACTTAAAACAAGTAGCATCAAGGTCGCCGTACTGGTCCCGAGAGCGATACAATGTTAATGTGTATAAATGGTAATATTTGCCGTTAAAGAATTAACAGTATTCGCATGTTACAAAGAGTGCACCTTTGACAAGCATGTTTGATTTAGTATCGGAATTAAATACGCAATAAGAATACTCGCACACTGCAAAAGTTTGCTAGATGAATTTACTGAGCTATAATTATGCAATTCTTTCCACATGTCTCGTCTGCCTAGTATTTCACCATATCCAAATTTAAAAGTGAGGCGACAAAGGGTGCGAATTTAAATCAATCGCAAATATTCTTCATACAAATAGATGATTGCGCGGATGACAGAAAAACTATCATTCGAGTGTATTACTGTAGCATAACGACATCTTGTTTTGTGATACTTCAATTTACAAGTCGTTGCTATTCAAAATAGTCTCACACAAGCACCAAAAGAGGAAACTCAGAACAACCCTTTTGCCAACATTGAGAATCAGAAACTGCTCCACCTATACCATCATTTAACTCCCCCTCTTTACCTGTATAACTACATATTCGTCAACATTTGAAGTAGCTAGAGTAAACAAGCCGACACCAAACCATCAAATAAACGCTGATGTGGTGCCACGGTGCATGTCAATGTTTCCACTTATTCCATTAAAAGGCCTAAGCATTTCCTGCTAACAAACAGAAAAGCGGACATAAAATCTAATTCTAAGTATGAGAAAGCCCGGAATACCGACCTGTACATTACAGGATGACCTCGTCGAGTCCGGCTTAATTTAGAATAGTAGTACAAATTGCGTAACTCATACTGACATGAACTTAACAGGAATGAGTTAGAAAATAGTTCCTACAAGTCCTTTCCTCACTGTAGCCATAGTCATCATTAGTTCATACGAAAAAATAAAATCAATAGTACCTGCCTGTAGAGTAATTTAGGGGGAGCAGTGGTGAACAATAAATCAAAAGTAGGAATAATTAATCAAGAAGAAGGATTAAGTTGAAGGAGACAATTTTAATACCATTCCCACGTATCGAGAGTAAGCGAAAGGGCCCCAAACAGATAACGGGTCGGTCATTATAGGATTTCAAGGACATAGGCTTTGACAACAGAAAAATTTGTGCATAGGGTGTATATAAATGCGACCATATTCAGAAAGTTGACTAATTGTTTTGTAAATCGCATAATATTAAAGTCGCAGCTGCATGCTGAGTAAAAACTCAAATGTCTTCATTAAGAAACTTCAACATTTTGATATGCGGAAGACATTGCAAAGTTGTGAACGAATAGTTATAGTGAAAGTCTTTAAATCATGTTTTAGGTAGTTAGAAGAATCAGGTAGTTTCAAGTGAAGATCCATATTAAAAAAAGTCGGGGAAGGCCTGCACAATTTTTGTGTCAATTGGTCAATGCTTCCACGTTCGTAATTGACCTACATGTTTATTGTCTCCATTGGTATCGGGAAAACGCACCAAAAGGTATAAGCAGATATTTAGTTTGTAGGACTCATTCCACCCATTTTTGGCCCGAAATCTTATTTAGCTATCTTTGTATTCCATTTTTTGATACAAAGGCATGCATTGTCATAACTCTCCTTTCTGTGTCTTGTTATCCCTCGTCAACCACTGGACATGAGATTTCGCCCTCATTTCGACTATAGTTTCATTCCACACAAAGTTGTGGGTATTGCGCTTTTTCGGCATCCTCATTCTGTGCTATATCAGCCCCAATTTCGCCTACAAAATAACTGTATAACCCAAAAGTATTTACACACTAGACTAGAAAATTCTGCAACTTTAATTGGTCATCCTTACACGACTCATTGTTAAGAAACTGTCTAGCCCCATTTCTAGAGCAATGACAGTTTTGATGGTTGACTTTTGATCAGAGGATTTTCGCACATATCCCGTTGATTTCCCCGTATCTGTGAACTTCACAACACACTGTGTTTATTAAAGATCATGCACAATGGCTGAATTGAGCTTGTTATGTTTCTTGGAAATGATATAATTGTGTTACATTAGTTTGATCGATTCGCACACTCTTGAGTAATTCAGTCTTTTATGCTACTCCACCGATTCCCGCTTTTCACGAGTTTTGCGCATCCGTTTCCTCTAATAGCACTTTTTCTTAGGTTTCACGCTAAAGACCTTGAAGTTTCCGATAAATGCTTCCATGACATTATGTGGCTTTCCAGCCTTTGGGTTATATGCTAATATCATTAGTTTTTCCACCCTTTTATAGGTTCTTGTGTCAGAGACCTCGACCCAATTAGTAGAGCTTTTCGTCGAGAATTGCGCCTTCAATGGGAATAAATCTGCAAGTTTATGAGTGAGTTCCCTATTTACTTGTTTAACAATTATTTCAAGTCGACGATCGTATGGTTGTACAGTTAGTAAATCAGTCTATTTTTACATGTTGGCAGTAACCAAATCCATTTCGACACGTACTCTGTCCTTCGCTTTTGTATAAGCCGTGCCTTATCATCTTAGAAGGTAGTAACGAAACCTAACAGTTCCATCCATGTTTTACGCTTGGATTGTATAGTTGAATTTGTGGATACAGTTCATAATTTCGTAGATATCAACTTGGCCCAATTTTTTAATTCAACGATGTGATGCACGCATTCGCCAGCTCACAAACTGAATCGTACAATTTTTTGGCTTTATGAAGCTAATTTAGAGGAAATACGCCACCAACCTTTCTATATAATAATCACTAAATACTTAAGTGTTCTTTGTCACCTTTGATTACACTTCTAATGTATTTCTTAGGTATACTGCTGAGATAATGGAGACGATTTGGGCTCATTCATGCTTTCTCATGGAGTGAAATTGTTAACCGCATAGGCAGCATATGATGGAGTGGGTGATGAATTTTCCCTACTCTTTCACGAGTTTGTGATGTGTGATCATTTTTAGCACGATTAACATTGTTTGGCCAATTGCTGAATTAGTTGGGCTGGATATCAGCATGTTACTCTTCAATGTGTGGATATTTAAAATAGGCTCTTTTTGACTAGCCAGACAGCATTACCATCCGATTGTGAGCTGGCGATTATTTTATTTGGGGGTGATTTAACCTCCCTAATATTGGCTTCCTCGGCGGAGCCCTCTTTCAATTGCCATGACTCGTGATTTTGCGTGAACATACGCATGAGCAGAACGACGAGCGATGTAGCGTAAGGGAGTTTAGGGCCCTTTACTACCACACGTAATTAACCTATAACTGGCACATGAGCGATTTGCGCCGTGGTAAGGTTACTTTGCATCGTTCCTGTGTGCGTATACCCTATTCCACGTGCTCTCCCTGATAAATTATTCATCTAGCGTCCAGGGTATGCTTGGCCCTTCTTGAACAATCGCAGCAGTCATGTCACTCTGTTTGTCACTTCAACTTTGTTGCTAACGTGAAGAACTTCGAAATCGAGGAGCACTCCTATGTTGGAAAAAGTCATACTAGACCATGTTCTGAGTTGTTCTTTTACAACACAAAATTATAAAGACACTACTTTTTAAGCCCACCTATTATACTCCTCAACTTAGCACCCCACTAGACTGTAGCTTTCGCATCAGCATTGATTCCTTAACACAAGTCAGCTTGATGGTCATTATTCTACTCTTATTATTATTTTATGTAATAGTTAGCTTCATGATTTCCATATTTTTTGAGCTATGCTATGGTTATAATTGCTATCACGATTTGTAGATTTTCCTCAATTTCGTTCCCTTTATTAGGCAATTACCAATCCAACATAGCTACCTTAAGTTTAGTATTTGGGCGTCTACGTCATCTCTTTTCTTGCCATTTGTTTAAGGTAGTACCCTTACGTTGACATCTACCATGGTCATGTATTTTTCACGGGCGCTAGTTTACTCTTTAAGATGTTCCCCTCGGATATCGAGTAGCGGCTTTGTACCGCCCTGTATAAGTTACAACGTTTTGATCGAAGAAATCATAAAAGAATATACGCTGGATGAACTTGAGTGTGTACTCTCTCTGAGCCTGATTTTGGGTTATAATAACCAAAAGTGCGCATAAGTTACATGATGAGGAGTGATGTAAAGCTGACCTCAAAAATGTGATTATCTTTCTCTGTTGGTTAAAGGTCAACGCAACTGTCTTGAATTTCATGATATTCGCAATATTATTAGGTGACTACAGTACACAGCTCCATACAGTAAACTCCCGCGCCCAAGGTCCATGCTGATAACTTCTTTGGAGAAAACTTCTTAAATCTTCATCCGGTGAATGAAATCTGCAGTTCTCTAAATGAATTTGTTGCCTTCATACCTGCTCAAATCATTTGTAAATTTAAGGATGAAAACGCTTTTTGGGAACCTATCGCGCCTTAAGTGTTACCTTTTGTTTGCTAAAATGTCGAAGGTTGTGCCAAGCGTGCTGTTTTGCATGCCATTATTGCCTTTGAACATCAATCGAATGGTATCAGCCCTAATGAGACTTCCTGAAACTAGGCGATCAGGAGCGCCACATTGTCACTCATGACCCACTGGAGGCGTGTTTTAATATTGCTAGTGTTATTACAGTTCAAAAATTCCACACCAGCAGCATTCCTGAGAGATAACGTTCATGTTTATGAATGAAAATTATGGACCAAGCCTTGACAGTAATCTTTTAAAGCCCAATTCACCTCAGCATTAGAGCATAATCAAGATCTTTGATGCGATGATGAACAAACACATGTCGTTTTTTGGGGAGGGGGGGGGAATCTCGCGGTGTTTCCCTCTCTTATTTCATACTCAATTCGAGTATTTTCATAACTCTACATGAAATTTCTGATTAATTTCTAACTTCGCTATTTTTAATGCGATCTTGTTGGCAAAAATATATGTAGTATAATTGTATGGTTCGACAAAATTTGACGGTGGAAACGAAGTACATCGATACCTGACGATTTGTCATCCATAATTTCCATTGAATGAGTGATACTGAAGGCGCTCTTAGGTACATTATAAACACAGGTTCGTTAGCCGACCAGTTTGTCGGCGTCACTTCTTTAGGACTTTATTTCATATGCTCTTGATGCAGCTACGCCCGAGTTAGCTTTTAGCATGTAATCAGCGTTGAGATTTTTTTCACCTCTTCGACTGCATGAAGTGAAACGGTGACAGTCTTCAGCAAGAATGGGGTTTCGGACGCTGGCACCTGTACGTAGAACGCTAGCCACAGTCCGCATCGTTCAATACATTTGGAGTGTATTTGTTCCCAACTATTAACTACAGAACCGGAACTTTATTTGAAAGTCCTTTTTGCTCATCTCACCTTTGTCTTGTGCTTCGTCTTTAACCCCAGTACAAATCCCAATTTTGGGGGTGGCTTACATACAACAGACCGCGAAATAATGGCCAGTTTTTGTGGTTAAGGCTAAAAATGGTGGATTAACTTCGAATGCACGGTGCCATCACCTGAATAACACGGTTTTAGTCGGTCGGTGTAGGTAAAAAAGAATCATGTGACACGTAACTTTATGAGCCCTTCTGATTTGAGCGTTGACCAAACTACCCTCTTGACGAGGTTGAGTGATTTCGCCGACCTTGCCAGGTTCGCGCTTGCACGCCGGTCATCTCTACTACCGTGGCCGAACCCAATGTCACGAACGTTTGCGCTCATCGGGTGTACCTAATCAGCCACCATCCCAACTCCTTGAAGTTCATTTTCAGCCACTTACTGACACACCTATCGGAATTTCATCTCGATCTCGCCAATTTCCTTATGCGTATGTATGATTGCCAATGTACACTTTCAGAATCCATCTGGAAGATGCGGAGTCAGTGCTCCAATGACGTACGAAAGGATGAATAGAAGTACGTTTTGTTACCTTCATACACTCCGTCTTTACTTCAATACATCATATCACCTAAAACATCGAGACACTTCGAGCTAGGTAATAGAAAGTAAGATCCACTAAGACTTTGGTATTATCTCTATACACTTATAATACAGCATTAACGAATGAGTGGGAGGAGTTCTGTACAAAGCAGAAAATCGGGATAGGGGGGAGGCAGGAGATAAAACAGGAAGGTAGCCGCATTGACTAGTGTCTAGCGATTTAGGCCGAAAAAGGTGGTCAGGTGTGTAACAGTGTGGCTGCTCAGACATTGTACAAAACTGGGTGGATTATGCTGGGCTTGTCATCCGTTGAAGCGGCTCCGTCCTCGCGAGAATTCGAGTTCTTTACCGTTACTGGGTTCTTTCGAGCTGGAGTTACTTGGTGAGGTAACAGTGGGAAAACACCATCCTTCCTCGGTGTTACGTGGAGCGTTCCTCCGCCGTTGAGAAGTTGGGCCTTTTTTGTCGGCGGAGTAGCGGACGCATTGGCCATTAGTACCAATGCCTTGCCATTCTTTTGGGCAAAATAAAACATTTATTTGTGTTTTATGCACACTAAAGCTGCATATTTAAGATAGGATATTCTTGTGGAATTGGGGCAAGCCAGAATTTTGGCTATCCATTATCGACATCAAGGTTGTAAGAACCTGCGTCTCAGTAAATGTGGTCATATTCAAAACGGTCCGTTCATTAAACACTTTTCTTCGTTCAGCATAATTAATTCGTCGAATCAATAGGCAGTCGACGATTCGGCGTTTATTGCGCTGTGCGTAGCTTCCAACAATTACATCAAATTTTATGCTTAAAACACTACAATCACGCCAAGCACGAGTCCAGGTCATGGATTTAAAGTGCATTTAAAATTAATGGAATATTTATACTTTTAGCTTTCCGAATTGTACCTTTAGCAGATTGCAAATATACCAAGGTGGCATCTAGGTCTTTCTGCGGATTTTGAAGGAAATTGCTTCCTACAATAGGCAAATACCCACCCGACGCGACATCATTAAAAGGCCAAGTAGGTTTCGATGATTTTATTTTTTCTTCTGTAGGCATGCGAGAGCTCACTGGAGGATCTCGACCTCTTCAGCGGGTGCCAATCGACCGCTTGTATATGCGTCGCTTTGCACAGTTGTGCGCTCACACGAGTAAAGCCCGCAACACCAAGCCTGCCTTCTAACTCGACTCTAACCAGCTAATAGTATGCGTATTTCGGCATATAACCTGCACATTTTAACATGCACACACGAGGCGGAAATGCTTCAAATGACTTCAGTTAATTCATTCCTTTCCTCATGAGTGTGCTTACTACATGTTCTGGAACTCCCGTCTTTCCCAATGCACACACATCGACATGGCAAGACCCACACACTCGACCCAAGACGTGCTGCACCGTTTGCAGTCCATGCAAACACGCGAATTGTACATGACTTTTCGCTTATACTTTGAACAACTTAAGCTTGGCACACCCCCGTGGTTGGCACGAGGGTGGAAACCGCGCGCTTGCGAATTTACTTACGGAGACTATCCTTTCTACTAAAGATGGCACCGACCAAGGTAATAAGAACGGATTGAGGTTCGGGGGGCATGCTTCCACACCTCAAGCAGTTTGCATGTCGAGTGACATTCGTCCCCCGTACGATTTGAGCTTGCCATAAGCGCCACATTGTATAAGATTCGCCATATGGTTTGGTTTACAGATTGACTAAATACCCTTGTACGTCGGCAAACCATCATGATAGGATTGGCATGGGCGGCAGGCTGTTACAAAATTTTTACCTTAATCATGTGTACGCTAATTGGGATTGTAGTGGTAACAATCTGTTGTTAACTTACAGATGCCCGAAATTATGGTTCTTCACGAGGCGGTGTTAGTGTACAAGCAACTAAGACACAGAAGCAGCAAACGCACATTTACCAGAAAAGTGCTCACCGTGGCGGAGCTGTCAATTGGTGCTACGCGACCCTTGCCACAAACGGCGGCGCCATCGCCACCATCGCTCGGGGATGTCACCACCGGACACAGCGGGTCTGTGAGTGCTGTATCTACGCCTCGGCGGCATTGGTGGTGGTTTTTGCCCCTCATTGCCAACACCGATTTCACTGCAACAGTGGTGGAGGCAGGCTTCCCAACTAGTGAGGATCCGGCGTCTGACGGAGGAAGCGAATTCGAAGAGGGGCTAACCGAAATCTTATATACAGTATCAGAGATTGAGCGTGAGTAAATGCTGTTTCCTGAGCTACCGAACCAGCCACTGCTGATGCAGCGACCACCCGTTAGTCTAGAAAGGCTAAAGGCTAACCGATGCTTGGAGAGACTTCGCAGGTAAAATTGAAAACGTTTGAAAAGAACGTTTTCATTAGTGGGAGAAAGACTTGGGTGAGTTGGAGTACCAGGCGGTTCGTTCGATATGAAATCAGCAGGGGAACCGTTACAAGGAACAAGACCGCCAGAACGATCGAAACGCTGAAGTTGGAGAGTTTGGGTCTCTGGGGGTGAGGGCAGGGAATCAAGCCGGTGGAGGTAACTATCTACGTCTTCTGATGATTGCACACGATCAAAGTGCGTCCGACCGCCTCTGCCAAAACGGCGACGCAGATAACCTGTTTGAGTGTGTCGGGAGTTGTGGCATACGCGATCGATTCGAGAGAGACAAAACATTTCTTCACGAATCGCTTCGGGAAAGCATCGGCAATCTCTAGATTTAAGATGAGACATGCTAGACGCTCATAAGGAGGGATGAAATACGACAAATAGTCAAACCTACGATGGTCTCTGATATTTGCAACCAGACAACCGAATGAAGGAAATAGGATCGTTTCGAGCCTGGCTGCCCTCCGCGTCCGACGTGTCCGATGAGTCAACGAGCGCGTTCTCCAAAGACCGTCCTGAGATCTTCCGCTTTCGCGAAGTAAGATGCTACGACGCATTAGCGAAAAACCAGGGTTAACATACCTTTCGAGTGCTAAGGGCAAATAGGCGTTCGAAAGACCTGGGAGTTTTTTGAGCGACGGCATCCGCTTCGGATAGCTGGGCAGCTTCCCAGTCTTCGATCTTGTAGCGCAACTGAAAAACTCGACGGTCTACATCAATAGCGGCTTCTTTACTTACTTCCCTCTTTACCAGACGCGAGACTACTTCACTAGGGCAAAATTATCAGACCACCTCCTTACCCTAGGGACACCATCTGCTCTCTAAGCAAAAGCATTTTCTCGTATGAGTACTCATCATTTTTCCGGTTTTTGCGCGTTTGCATCCGTTCAGTTCGACGCCGAAATGCGACATAGGGATCGTTGTTGCTTCCACCTTCACGTTTTTCTTGGCGAACAGAGAGAATCAGTGGTTGTCTACATTGCACCCGCTTGTTTATCCAATAGTCGTAAACCGCAATAATGGTGGTCTGATCACCACTAAGTAACAACTGCGCGTCCTCGAGATTCATGACATCATGGCCGCAGCCCCGTTCCAGCCGGTCAATCATGCATTCAAAACCTTCTGATGACAAATTTAAACCACTCCTACGAAGCCACTCCTCGTCATCGGAGTCCATGTCATATTCGACGGACTCTTCGTCCTCCAAGGCTATTGCTGGAAAACGCATGATGTGATTGAATTACCACTTACTGCGAATGTGAATTAAATTTCTAGGAAGAGAGAAGGTAGCTGAGTAGATTTTTTCATATTCTTCAGATTTATCGATGATCTCAGGAACAGGAATGCTGACATTAGCATTCTTCTGCATCTGTAATGCCTGCAGCACTTCGATGAAGTGATGTTCCTGAAATCACAACCAATAAGTTAGTCAAAACATGCCAAAAATAAACACCCATGGCAGCGTAAAACCAGCTCTCCCTTGGGTTACAGTAAGGAACCGAAAAACAACGTCGGCTGCTAAACGTTTCGTGCTGGACAGCAATGTAACAGATCGATGGACCACTAATCAGGTGACTATAGATTGCCATGCCGCCCACCCTAGTCACGACGATTAATCAAAGAAGGAGAGAAAATGAATGAAAATTATTCATTAATGAAGTAAAGAGAGGTTTCAAGAGGTATTACGTTTTCCTCTTCACGCTCCATTCCACTTGGGACCGCAGGGGCTCCACGATTGACAAACGCTCCCTCGCCGAGTTCAAAGAACAAGTCTGAATCATATCTAACGATTGGTAGTGATCTGTTGAAGTCGATTTGGCGCGTACGAAACGAAACTTTGCTCATTCTAAAACAAAAGGCAGGTAGGCGACAAAGGTCCCAGGGCCTTAGTTCAAAGTAAGGTAGAAGTCACTCAAAGGGGTGAGTCAAGAATTACAAGGAATAAAGCGACACGTTAAAATCCATACAAATAATTGGTATTTATAAAGGATAAGGGAGAGAATACATCAAAATCTCGCCGTACCCAGCAATGGCGGCAAGGAAATTCAACAGGGCACCAATGGCGGACGCTTGGTGGGCTTAAACAAGGTGGTCTTCAGCAGGTTAATTTGTTTTCTGATTAGAAGTGCCATGGTTGCGAAATCAAACAAGTTGATTTGCCAGAGTTGAAACAACGCAAAGTTACGCAACACTTAGATATAAATTACGCGTTAATTTCAAAGACCTTAATAATTTACCAACTTTGAGAGGGGATTCTGTGATTTTTGAGTAGACCAATCACCAGTAAGTAGCAAATCACTTACAAAATTAAATTTTTAGAATTTTGCTGCACTTTATTTGGTTTTTATTCATAAAATTGTGTTGATGCAACTCAAACGACAAGTAGTGTAGCGTCCCGAGACTCCCTGAAGACGACGAAAGAAGACACAATACTCGGGCAGAATATATATTCAGCGCAGAGAAGGTGTCTGGACTATTGGCATGGCCCGAAAGGTCAACCCACCCAGCGAAGCGCAAGAGGGCTAATTCAAAGTACAAAAGTGACGTCTCACCAATACCGGGGGATAAACTACTATCGTATTACATAGCCTCCCTCCTCTTTTGAGCGTCATCCCTTGCGCTCCCGCAGGTCAACCTTTTGCGTCAGCCATTACAACGTAGTCGGTGCTGTAAAGAAACACCTGCGATCCGACCGTGCCAGTTGCCAAATTAACGTGCAACTGAGGCTACCTGACCTCAACGTCACTGATCCCTCTTGGCAGCTTAACGATCTGGAGTTTTGTTCGGTTTAGGAACCTGATACAGGACAGGGAATTGCGCTGGCCATCATGCATGTCCAGAGATGGATGTAGGGACACTGGCCTAAAAGTAGATTTCCGTAAGGAAGGACGGGATTTAATACAGGTCCATGGGGGACGGTAGGGAAAGTCTGTAAAGAAACTTCCAGATGGTTCACGGCTAGTATTGCTTCAGTTGTTAATGGCTTTTCTGCAGAACACGGGACTGGGATAGCTGCCGAGGAAGACGTCAACTCCAACCCTCTCTTTAGGGGTCATTACCGTTCCCCCATCCGTGGCATATTTACTTCTTCCGCTCCACTAAGGCTTATCACGCAGAAGTGGAAAATTAGGGTACATGTCCTTTTAAGATCGGGTTCGCTTTCCTCTGCCACCAATGTAGCGTGCCGAGACTCCCTGAAGACGAAAGAAGACAAAATACTCGGGTTGAGTATATATTCAGCGCAGAGAAGGTGTCTGGACTATTGGCATAGCCCAAAAGGCCAGCCCATCCAGCGAAGTACAAGAGGGCCAATTCAAAGTAAAAAAGTGGGGCCTCACCAATACCGGAGGATAAACCACTATTGTATTATTGTAGTACATCAATTTTCGATAGCCTTTCGCTCTGAAAATGAAAAGCTAAGCAAACAGTCAAGTTTGCTTTGGACAGCGCACGAAAAGAATGGGAGGCGATTAATGTTCCCCTTTATGTCGTTTTTCCCCAGTTGTGTAATTATGATCGACTAGCATGTAGATTTTTTTAAATTGCCTTACATGACACAAAAAGGCCTATCAGACGATGTCCTTGCTATATGTAGCGTTGCACACTCATTGTGGAATTGGACTTTGTGCTGATTTTACCGAACTTGTCAACCGCTTTTTTGGTGTGCTAGTCCATTACATTATCACCACGCTACTGATCGGCGTTCAGGGACATTATTATGATGTTTTAAGCAAACAGTAAAATGAGTGAATTTTAGGCCTAATTTCATTTGTTTCGCATCGTAATTTGGCATAAATTGCCATTTTGACATCAATTTTCTAAATGATTCTAATCTATAGAGGTCGAAGCAGCGTGTTTTCTTCCTGTAATAATAGGTTAATCTTTGGGAGTCTTTTGCACTCTCATTTGCGTATTAGTGGCCTATTTACTCCCAATTGCTAAATTGCCTATCCAAAGTTAATAACCTAAAGAATTTCAGGCAGTTAATAAAAGTAAAATAGTTTTTTTTGCCATCTATATGCGTTTAAAATGACCATCTACCCCCCAGTAGCTGCATTGACCTTTCCAGATTAGAGGTTTTGAACCTACGAAGGAACCTTATATTTTTGCAATAGCTGTTTTCCTGCGCGGTAATGATCCTTAAAGTAAATTTAAGCCCTTTACTTTTGTTTAACCTCGACAACAAGATCGGTCCCTAATTGTTTTTATTCGTGAATCAGTCGTTTTTTTGGGTTGGAATGCTGCAGAGTCCAGCCATCGAAACTAACTTGTCTGTTGACCTTGTTGATTTTCAAAAACTTGAAATTCCCGAAGCAAATGGTAGTCTTGTGCTCAACGTTGATTTTCTTTCGTCTCAACACCATCGTGATTTAATCGGACATTATCTTATGGGTATCGCAACGCTCACTATATCTTGCATTGGACTGGTTGGTAATGTGTTGTCAATTGGTATTTTAACTTCAAAATATATGAGAGGAACTACCACGAATCAGTATTTGATTGCACTTGCTGCTTCGGATTCAATGATGCTCTTTTTCGCAATATTGGTTGCGATACGCGATGCGAGGCGGCCCAAATATGGGGTCCCTGTTTGGCAACTATGGGATGATGCATCTTTTGTTCCTCATCTTTATCCAATATGCCACGCGTTCGCCTTGCTTTTCCAAGTAAGTTATTCTATAAGTAAATATTTCATGAACCACTGGCTGGTTACTGCGCAATGTACTTCTCAGAGTTGACGAGGATATTACATTTCCACCCTCATAGAGCCCCATACCAGAACTATTTAATGAAATGCAGGAAAGTTGTTTCAGATCCACCCATGATAAGTACATAGCTATGTCATAAAATACGTATATGATTTTAAAATCAGTTAAGCTATAAATACCATGAAAAACATATATTCTGGCGGATAGAAGATGTTCTAAATTATTGAAACACACAAATTTGTCATAGAGATATAAATGGTGGAGATCGTACGGTTTTTGCTGTTTCATGTATACACTAAATACCATTTGACTATAATTTATGTGTCATTACTGCTCACTAAAGAAATTTTATGGTGCATCATAATTGATAGTGTCTACCTGCAATAACAACAATTAAAAATTCAAATGTGCAGCGCTGGTTGATGTTGTGACACTGCCTCACACGGCGTTGTCAGTTATAGCCAATTTATAAAAAGAATAAAAAAGGCCTCAGATTAATTGCAGAACTTTTGTTCTTCAACTCAAAACTTCTTACTAAAGCACAATAAGGCTTTACATTGATCAAAAAGTAGCCGTTAGGAAGAATATTCGATTTTTTTTAGTCGTCTAATTATGGTGTGTTTTCTCCAATTCCTGTCTATTTCAATGTTTGTCTATAAATCATATTGTTAATTAAATAAATTTAAAGTTAATAAATCCAGGGAAACAACGATGCTACATCACCTACAAATGAGGCATTTTCTGTAGACTAACTCCAACATTGGATTCCTTGAACGCTACTTCAGATTTCAAAGTGTAGTCGTAGGGACCAGAGCAGGACCTGCACCCAGTTTTACGGTTTTTAGATCCTAAGCTGTAAGCTTTTCTCTATGTATGCCTTTACACATTAGGAGTTAGCTTTGACTATTTGTAATTTCCCGATTTCCTTTTTAATGCTAACTAATGGGCACCTTAATAACGCTTGGAGTTGTCATCTGTGCATTAATTGAATACATTTTGTCAGATGAGACCCTTTATTGACAATTTTGTCACAACTATATTTATCGCTATAATAAGTACTGATGAATGCTGCATGTGAAAATTGGACATTTAGGTAGTGTGATTATTATGTAAAAATATATCTGAATAAGAGCTTACGTAGAAATTTGTGAGATTAATAAAATACCGAATATTTCTTAGAAGCGTAAAAAAAATAACTGTTAAGAACAGAGACTTTTCTTTTAAATATCAACTTTACGAAGCATGAAGTTTCTTATTTTATAATGATAACTTGTTGAACTGCAAACGTTTTCACCTTTATCAAGGAGGGGAAAAAAGGGAATTCAATACAATACTTATAGTTATGTTATAGGCGAAAGACGATTTCAATTCACAGTGGCGGCTACCTTTCGTCAAATGCGCTCAAACAGTTTCATTACATATAGTGCGCTCAATTGGAGCTTCCATCTAATCCAAAGCGGAGCAACAGTACCTTTGCTTAGACCCATAATGCATTCGGGAAAGGGTTAATCGAATTGGTGATGCTTGGGTGATTTGGTGCACGTTTGTTTGTGTGCAGTCCAGTGAATTATTTTGTCTAAGTTGAGATCAGCATTACTGTGGTCTAATTTAAAATCTGATTTCTTTGTATTACTCAATATCATTTTTAGCCAATCACACTTTCTTTTACCATTTTAGCAATCCACTGGTAGTTCTGACATCCTTTTTCTTTCACGACCATGACGCATTTCCGCTTCTAGGGTTGAGGGTTTTGGCTTTTGCCTAAACATTGTTGATAAAGCAGTAGGTTGTGTTAAATAAAACTTGGAAATGTACCATCCTGCATGTTTGAATTTCATACTTTTAAAAATTATAGGGAATATACCGACAGAAAAATTGCTCACTCTGAAAATGTTGGGTTTACAACTTCTAGCTTTAGTAAAATATAATTTATGACCTCTTTTAGGAGATCTTTTCATGTCTTACACAGTTAAACCTGCGAAAAATCAACTCCAAAGTACTGGGTCAAAGTGGTCATTTCAACAAAGACGTGAGATAAAGTACATTTCCAGAAATGATTCGCTAACCAATCGAGAGAGCTAATATTGTTCCAGCATTTCAGTACTTTTAGATTAACAATATTAACCTACTAATTGATGCACAAAACGAGGGTTATAGCTGCAAAAGACAATGGTTTGAAAGATTTTCCAAGTCTTTCTGAATTAAACAGTGAGATCTGTATGGGACATTAATATTTCTTTGAGTAGAAGCCAAAGCTACGGAATCTTATTTTTTTGTTAAGTAGTTGGCTGTAAAAAATCACACGTTTGAAGCAGTAACATGAGGATTGCCTTGTAAAATGATGAACTTCATCTCAAAAATCACGTACGTGCTTACCTCAAGATGTTGCCATCGCTAGTATAGAAATTTGCGGTCAATTTTCCAGAATAGGGTGTGTGCCTTTTACCCGCAATTTTTTACACAATGATTAATGAGTCTAGTAAAACTGTCTTCCCCTTCCGCGGGGAATGTCTGTCCACTTTTTTGAAAGATAAGTCGAAAAGTTTGAGCAGAAATCCCTTCCCCAAGCAAAGCCGCGTTATGAATTTCATGTTTTTAATGTTGATGAATGTATCATAGATACACTCTCACTCTAGTTTGTGTACAAACAACTCCTAGAATCCTACTAAATGGCTAACTAGTGCAACCAACTTGTGGGCACTTCAAAACGCTGAAATTAGGGGTTGTAAACAAGTTTTGTTTTCTGCGATAGGCATTTTCTAATCCAGACACCCGGCGCCTCAGCATACCCTCAGTTAACTCGGTCTCGATTTATCGACCAAAGATAAAGCCATTCTTGAAGCATATGACATGCAACTCAGACCTTATATTCTATACAGGAGAATGTGCCCAACCCATAAATGCTCATCTGCTTATGCATATGGCATGCTAGCGTCCTTTTAGCTCAACGACTAACGTGTTTTTAATGCGGCATAACATTTTCTCACAATCCTGTTTTGAATGGCAACTCTGGTAGCAAATCTGAATTCCATATAATGAATACAGATAAAAATAATAAAGTGTGCTCAGTTCACGTAAAACCAGTGATTGGACAAAGCTATTTTGTCGAAATCAATTTATAATAAGTCCCTTGCTTAAGAATAAAGGTTATATGAATCAACTGTCATCGCATCAGTTTAAAGTTGCTATGAAGAGAGGGTTTTTTCACCGAAAGTCAAAGTGGTCTGAATTCAGCAGATGAGAATGCGACTTGATGTGCGATCAACAGTGTGATGACAGTATCTAAAATCATCATCTGTGTTCAACTTTGGATCTTTATTATAACAAGTATGAAGAAGTCTCCATTCTAAACTGGAGACCTTTGCGGTTATGGTGATCTAGAACCATGATAGAGCAGAACATAGGCAGTAATTGCAATGTAATAGCAAGAGGTAGTTTTGAAATTATTGACTAGTTTTTAGTCCCTGTTTCTGTGCGTACTAATTACGGAAAAAATATTAATCCGAGATTTCAAAAAGCACTCATTTGAAACAAAACTATAACATTGGCGACCCAATTGAACACTTTTTCAATCTGTTCAAACGACATAAATGGCAGAACCGAACACCTAACGAATTTGCACTGCATTATTGCTTCAGAGAATCAATTCTTTTAGATTTTGTAAGTTGCTGTTTCTGCATTAACTTTGTTAAGCAAATCATTCCATCTTAGTGGCCTCAATCACCCAGTGTATTAGTTGTAAGGCGGCAAATTTGAAGTTTTCGAAATGCGAACAAGCCTAGCATGCATGCAGCTTAGTGATGTGCACAAATCGTGGAATCAACACTCATCCAGGTGTGTGTGCTGGTATAGTAAACACTTCCCTTAAGTGATCATACTGAGAATTGAGCTCTAATGGCCAAGCCACCCCGAACGTGCACAGTCGGCTGCGGAGAAAAGAGAGACTGAATTTAAAATCGCTGAAAACCCTGATTTCTATATCCGAAAATGGTTAAGAGTATAATTGATTCTTATTTCTAAACGAATTATGGCAAAAATGGAGTCATGAAATGCTCATAAAATAAGGAAAACTTTAATATCTAGGGAAAAACGGCATCAAATTGTTCGATTTTTCTGGAATAGCAGAACCATCATCTCATAAACTAAAAGCTTATAAAATGTTTTTAATGATTGTTGCTTATTTTATCAAATACTATAAGCCATCATCTAAGCGCTTAAATTTATTCAAGTACGAATTTCGATTCACTACTCAACGGCTCTCACTTGAGAGATCTAACACTTACACATTTTGTTTTCACCGATCGGATATCCCAAAGTGTGATACTCCATTTTACCCTTGTTTTCTTTTTTTGTGTATTTTGGCCACTCTTTAATTCTATTTTTATGACTTGAAATGAAACGACCCCCGCCTTGGCTGTAAAGCGCTTGTAATGGAAATGCTCATACACTTTCGCAATGTATTCCTAAAAGTTGGTCCAGTACTAGAAGCACTGACAGTTGTTATGTTAGCGGCAATGTCACCGAACACTGAAAAACCTCCTGATATCATACTTTTTTCTAGAACTGCTGCATAAGCGCGGTTAATACACCTCGGTTGCCCGTAAGCTATACTGTTAGTCTTATGAAATGTAAATCAAGCTAGCTCAGGGCGTCTTGCAGACAGTTTGGTAGTGGAAAATATACTTAATGGCGCACGCCCATCGGCAGTGGTCGAGTGATTCCGCATTATCCACCAACGCATTGTTGCATCAGCCGACTAAAATTGGCAATTTCTCACTGTTTTGCGGCGCGCACGTAAAAAAAAGAAGAGGACTAAGCGAGGATCAAACACACTATCCAAAGTCGAGGAGAAGTAACACTTTTACTTAATTCGAAAATCCCGCTTCCCAAATCTTGCTCAACGGGTAAAATGCGCTGGAGCATGTGGTAACTGCACAAAACTCCCACCTATTTACTTTTTTGAAACCATGGAACATTTTAATAAATGAAGAACACTACCCATTTGAATTTGGTCTTGCAGTTGACTTAGAAATAAAAGACGGCAAAAGCAGATGCACTATGGTTTATTGACAAGAAGTACAAGTTATCATTTGCAAATCTTAACTTTGGATTGGCTATTATACACCAATGCGTATAAAATCATTTAGACCTTCGGTATCTGTTTAGAGCAGAATCAGACAATTTTGTATTTTGTTGGGTATTTGACCTTGTCACCATCTTCTAAAACGCAAAAATTGGTAAAATTGTGGCGTTTTAAGCATTAGAATATTAACCTTTTGTCACTTTTCCCAAGACTCGTTAAGAGCTTATATGATAAGGGGTGAAGTGGCTGAACATTCACCGTGGGCTGCTGCGCTTACTGCATTGTTGGTAAACTCGTGCGCAACCCTATTGTAACGCAGAAAAGTTTAAACAAACCTTTTTAATATGGTTTTAATAATTAAGGCATGGTCCGATTCTCAAACTTTCAATACCGACAAATCAAAGTCAGGCATTTTTTCGACAGTAATAAGTACATGAAAACGATACCAGGCGAAGCTTCTTGAGTAAAAATTACCCATGTCAAGGAGATTTTGTCTGACACGTTGATACCTATCTTCAAAGTGTACTTTTCTTCACCATACTTAGTGCCTTTATTTACAACAACTCCCACTGTCCGATTCAAACATCGCTTTATACGGTGAACAAAATAGGAACTTTTCTGAGCAACTGATCATTTGCAAAATTCTAGAATTCTAAAATTCTAAATATACTGTGCTACATGTCAGCTACATTTTTCCAGAATAAAACATCGTCTTGCTGTCTTCCAAATTTTGTAGATGTATACAGAGCTTCAGCTTTTGTAAAGTGTTGCTTTTGCATTGGTGAACAAAAGTACTGTCAGTCTCGATTGCAGCACAATTCCGAACAAATAACGCAATTCAATGGTGCAGCACAAATTTCCCAATATTTGCGGTATTTTGTATTTATCAGAAGACATTTAATACCCATAGCTTGAGTAAAATCCTACATGCTGCATTTTCAAAACCAAGTAACAGCTATATTTCATGTTTGCATTCAGTCCAAAGCATACGGTGTTGGTTGTTGTGGGCCAGATTCTCATTATATTGGGTTCAGTGTCAAGCCCAGTGACGAAACAACCAGGGCAATTGGTGTAGGGTGCTAGGCTTATCGCTACCTTTACGCGCGTGAAACCGGTAGAATCTTCTGTACCGACATTTTATGTGCTTTCAATATTAGGAAATCCCACTTCCTTTTAGCGCAATTGCTCTTGTAATCACCACATCTTGACACCGACTTGTGGTTAAGTCCACCCTACAAGCTCCTAATTATCAGAGAAGACATACGTCTTGTTGTCCAACATTCGAAATTTTCTTAAGAGTATAAATATAAGTGAATTTTAAGTAAACTGTGAGAAAATATGGACTTCAATAGGGATATTAGTGATACCCGCTTGAATTAGCCCTCAGTCATACACAAATTATATCCCTCTATTGATCTGGTAAACAAGCAAAGGCGATCAGATAACCCTGTCTAAAATAACAATTGACGTTGATACTTATGCACTAAAGATCAAGGTATTTTTTCCGAGTGGAACTTATTAATTATCATTAACTACACTAACACCAGTTAGCGTTGCAGGCAAATGCGGAAGAGTACTGGGCAACAAAGGTGTCGGATCCATCACATCTAAAACAGACGCCAAAAAGAGGAATTATATGGAGGCTTTCGTAGCAACTTGATATATTCCTTACTATTCTAGTTTGACTTTATTTAATAAATAGGCGCATTATACCTGATTATCAAACAACAGTTGAACGTAGAGTTCTCCAAATACTTGAATTATGGCTACCGATGTATTTAATTTTCTGTCTTAATTGAGCAAATTTTAATGGTCCAATGGTTTTTAATAGCCAAGTCAACATCACATTGGGTGAAGTGCAGCATACAGTGAGATTTTATGGAAAATGAAAAAAGTAAAGAAGCCTTCGGAAAATACGAAGAATAGGTTTGGAAGAATCCATTATTTCCTTCAGGTATGCTCTAACTGGCTTACAGCTGCATTCACAGCGGATCGCTATCTGATGATTTGCTATCCTTTCATCGCGAAGCGATGGTGCACTCTGCGCCTGAGCAAATTGGTGATAGCAGCGGTATGGGTGGCCAGCTTCTGCTACACCTTGCCGCGCTTCTACGAGTACGTCTATTTCACACCTCTGCCCCACCCCGCCGTGAGGGACTCCCGGCTGCACCTGCCCAACCACTGGTATCAGCTCTCCGCCATGGGCGACTCCAAAGCCTTCCGCTTCGGTTACCATCTGTGGGCTTGGTGCATCCTCGTCATCGGGCTGCCTTCTCTCTTCATTGCCGTTCTCAACATCTTCCTCGTGCGCGAGATCAACCGCTCCATTAAGCGCATGCGCTTTGAGCAGGGCATCAAGACGCGGCGCCATGAAACCGACGTCATGCTCATTGGCGTCATTGTCATCTTTTTCGTGTGCCAGGTAAGCTCAAGCTTCCAACACCCAAAACGTTCCTCCTATTGCAACTTACCTGTCCCCCCTGAATGTTTTCCTGTCACGTTGCGGACATCCGTTGCGACTTTGCCGAGATGAGGAAGCTATTTCGTCTCTCCTAAAGCTCCTAAGTTACCGACTCGAATATGGAAGATCAATAAACCTGGAATAATACTATTTAATTGTACACACCAACTGGTATTTAAACGGACCATTTCACATTGTAAGATTCAACAGATTTGAAGCGCACTTGCTTAACCAGTTGAACATTTTTGAACAATTCATGCACTAAAGATTCCATGTGAAGCCAAATCACAGACTAATGCAACCCAAAAATATATTTTTAAGTTCCTTACATAGCACTAGATAGACTGCTTATTTTCGGCTTTTGCTGCTTATAAAAAGGTAAATTGGAAATTTGAAATCATTTTACAGAGTTTGATTTAAAAATCTCCCCACAACTCTTCACCTTTAGATTAGGCTACTACTTACATATTCAAATTGAATTGCAGCAGAGTGAAATCTAGGTGATTGAACGCAGAAGAAACAAAGTGCGATATTGTAGGCACATCGAATAGCTAAATACTTACAAATTCATCGTAACTGGGAGATATGTCACAAAACAGAAGAAATGCTTCAATTGACACATCCTCTGTTTTAATGATATATTCTTGTCTTTACAAAATATGTGTCTGAATTCTATGGCGGTTGCATTATCAGTTAGAAGTGCGCAATGAGCCGAAAACTGGCAAAAGGCGGGACAGTCATGGGTCTTCGCAACAGGTGCCAACGCAACGATCTAAATCGACTTAAATCATTTCCACTTTTACTTGATTAGACCATGAAATGCTAAAAATAGATTGCGTTTTTGTGCGTACAACCGTGAAAAGACTTATTGGATAACAGTTTGAAATAGAGGGTTATGAAACTGCGGACAAAGTTAGTTTATTGTCTAGCAATTCCAATGATTGGAATTCAAATTATGGGAGTAAAGCGGTTTGCTATTTTACTAACAGGGTCCTACATGCACTATTATAAGGCGTAAATGAGGAAGGCCTCGTGGAAAAGCTGGTGCGTTTTTTACAACCTGCTATACAGGTATACTTTTTTTCATTTTGAACTCCCCCTTATAAATTAAAATTCGTCTAATGATTTACGGAGGCAAATGGTCTTGATTTTGGCATTACAAAATTTCGCCAGATTTTCTAAACAGGCAATAGACGATTATTATGCATCTCATTATTTATTCCTTTGTAATCGAAGTCTATTTATTTCTTACAAAAGCCAAATAGTTTATAATGTTTTCAAAATTGTAACTTATTGACTGCCTTTACATGAATTGGATATTTTACTTACCTTCAAGTTGCAAGTGGAGGGTTATGTTTTGTTCTTGCCTGTAAGAAACGGGAAAGGGGTGGTAAATTCACCTTTTCCTTGGCTCCAAATGAAAGAAAAACTGAAAAGGTAATTGGCTCTTTTCATAAGAAACTTTTTGTGAATAGTCCAAAACTTCCCAAAGAACACCATGTATTTTTCATCAGTAAACGCGTCCACTTACTCCTGAATAATCAGTCCCATATGATTTCCTAATTCTATGTAGATCCCCATAACTTTAGCGCCTTGTAACAGCTCGGTGAATGTAGAGTTTATCTCCATTAATTCAAGATCAGCCTAAATATTATTAAATGGAATGTAAAGTATGTGCAATTTCTTCAATCAGAAAACGTTCAATTTTGCATTCAAATATTGGCGACCTTGGCTTACGAGCCGTAAAGAATAATGGAATTCCAATATAGTAAATAACTTATAAAGACTATGGTGGTAGGCTAGCGTTTATCTTAACTATTTTGGCGGGCCGTACAATCACTTGACGCCTCACTTTCAAGTGACCTCTAAACAACCATTCCAGAATCATGAGCAGAGGTGCTGAAATCAGTTTAGCAAGAACATTTTAAATTTTTTGTCTACGCTACGTGTAATTATGTTAAAGTGGAAACAGTCTAAGCCTCCCTACTGTTAAAATTTGATTAATTTGCGTGAACTAATTTTCATGGACTTCACTATTGAGTAAAATCAAAGTGGACGCCAAGGGAGTTAATTTTCATGCCTGCAAATTGCCCACTATTTGATGGGTCCCCAATCAGAATGCTGTAAATCAATTTATTCTCCTGCAATTGCAAGTTTCGTTGTAGATGTCAGTTCCGTATTAATAAATGACGCTACACTTAGCAGTGCACGGAACTTGCATCTGGAGCGATAAACTAAAATAACAAGTGCTCGAATTAGTAAACAATGAAGTAACGAATTTTACTAAATTTACCGTACTGTCCCCGAGGGATTTCCCTGAGGATGGAAGAAGACATGATACTTGGGCAGAAATTGTATTGCCGATGTAGGTAAGGCCCGGGGGGCACAGGAATGTCTTAGACGCCATGCCACCCACCACCAGTACGACGGCTGAGCCCTAAGCAGCCGCGAAAGCTAAGACGAAGAGCTAAACATATGACTAAAGCATTTAATTACAAGAAAGACACTTATCTACAGGTGGCTTTGAGCATGTACACTTTTACAATATGAATAAGTTGACTCCAACAACATTACACAATCCTATTTGACATAGTTAATTGCTTTGATTGACGTCGCATCATACCTCTCCTTTTGGAATTCCATACAATTGCCTATGAGGGGTCAGTTCAATGTTAGGTTTACCAAAGTCAGGAGAATTTGGCAAATAGTGTCTTTGTCTTTTCCCAAAAATGATTTGTTAACTTGTAAATCGACTTTAAAAGAATGGGAAAGATAGCATCAATCGTCGAGTGTTTTTAAATAGTGGCGCTCACACCATTTTGACTAGACAGGCAACAAAACAAACAAACGTATATTTTCATGCTATTATGATGACAGAAGTGAAGTCCTATCTATACGAACATAAGATGTTGTTTTACCGATTTCTTATGGCACAAACTTACATTATGTGGGCGTTACTTTTTATTCTAAGGAATTAATGTGCTACCTTATTCTGAACCTGATCTTTTATTATCGAGTTGTGGAAGTAGCGGAACGCCTCGATATATGTAGTAGAATACCCTCATGCCGTATTGACGCTTTCAGTCCTACCCTTAATCGCACAGATTCCCTCCTCGGTAAGCCACGTGATGTGGGGCATCCGAGGCTACCGGCAGGAGGCATCGGTACCTTGGCTCATCCTAAATGAGGTCGGCAATCTCTTTGTGATTCTCAATGCCTCCATCAATATAATCCCCTACTACCTCTTTGGGAAGCGCTTTCGTACTCTCTTCGTGATAATCTACTTCGGATGGATGAAGAGATGTGCTGATGTGCGACAAAGCGTGACATCCCTCAACCACTTATTAACGCCGACGCTCAACAGAAGGCCGCGCCAGCCCTCAGCCTCTTCTCCCCTCACCCCCCTTGCCGTCGCCACTGCCTCCGGACAAGGCCGGTCCCTGCCCCTTCACTATTGCCAACCTGGATGAGAAGAGGAGTGTCTTCATGTGGAAACGCACACGTCTCAACAACCCAAATTATTGCTTATTTTCTAGTGCTTTCACTTCACAATGTGTTTTATGTTTGCAGTATTGGGATAAAAGGAAATTTAACCATTCATTTTGGGAAATTTCTCCCGCCTGATGAGTGCATGCAAAAAGGGGTGACTCCAAGCGTAAGCAGTTGGTTGACAAATAGCACTACCCTTCTATGAAAAGAAAATTCAATGTAAATGCAAACCTAAGAAAGATCTCAAAGACCTGATGAATGACTGCTGGTGTAGACCACTTTGTTACGGTCACAAAAATGGCTACTAAAAAGATAGACATATTTTAACACCTAATTAATTAAACAGAAATGAAGACTGAGCTGTTTATTTTAAGTGTTTTTTTAGCTCAAAAACTGACATCACTCCATTCAAATAATTAGAGTAAGCTGTGAGCTGGCAAATTTTTTATTCTGAAGCAATTCATAGGTGAATCCTTCGGATTCTCATTGAGACGTCCAATAAAATTGTTGTTGTGGGGAATCCACCCTCCATTAAGACCAAAAAGTCCGACATTCCAGTCGAATCCACCTTTATCGGAGTCCTTTACTAAGTTTACGCTGCATAGTTCAATACTTAGACTATAAACATAAAGTCCAATTTCTACAACAGAAATGCTTAATAGTTTTTTTGAAGAAAACTAAAGGTATATAAAGATTGTAAGATGATTCAAATTTGTAATTAATATTGCTAATCATGGTAGCTGCTTTTAGTGAAAATAACAAAATGAAATCAACATACGGGCAATGCTGCTGCAGGGCACTTAGTAATTCCCGAAGTCGCAAGAAGTCATCGTAGTATGGCAGAATATGTATTGCTGATGTGCAGAAGAGCTGAGACCAAGGGCATGACCCGCACACCACGCACCCGAGCGAAAGCAAGATCTGCCAAAGGTTGCGTTTACTGCCTTCCAAATGATCGAAAGCGTTACTTTGGCAGTCTGTTTGTAATTTGCTGCAAAATGCATATTTTTAGCAAAATTGCTGTTAAACTTTACCACCTCTATATCGCTGAGAATTTTGAGCAAAATAAACAATACCGACAGTTGAAAGCAGCACTTACTTTCCCCCTATCCGCGGTAAACTTGAAAAATGGGCTGGAATTCATAGGCGTACCTCAGCAAAAGTAATTGTCTTACTGCATCCATTCAAAGCGCGAATAGGCTGTGTTTATCGCTAAGACATGGTAGCCTTTATTTTTGCAATGCTTTTTGTTGCATAGTGTCATGATGAAAAATTCTTTCCCCTGACAAAACAGTAAAGTCTTGTAAGTCAAATGTTTGAGATACAGCCTTCTTTTGTGCATAGTACAAAATTCATCAAGATATTGATACAATGCGTTGTTTGTTAAACTCGAGGTTTCGGAAAAGGGGCCACTTTGGGTCTCCGCCATTGCATGTTAGCCGGGTGGGCTGTCCTTCGGGCCATGGCAATAGCTCCCAACCCTACTGTATGTTGAATTTATAGATTCTGCTCAAGCATTATGGCTCCTTTCGTCTTCAGGGCAGCCTCGGGGTGCTTCATTGGTGGCAGAGGAACGTGAACCCAATCTTAAAGGATATTCATCCTGATTTCTACTTCTGGGTGATAAACCTCAGTGAGGCGGTGATGACCCATAGCAGAAGTGCTATAAATGGCGTCCACCTTGGGCACATGCCACACTCCCGTTGTTTGCAGGAAAGCTAGTAACAACTGAAGCGATATAAGTCGTGATCTATCCGGAAAAATTAGTTAGGGAGCTGTCTATCATACCTGTATGCAGTTATGAATTATTTGAACATTCAGTATCTCTTCCAATTCTCTACTAGCTGGATAGCAGCCAGATAAGTAAAGCTGGAGAGCAATGAAGTGAGAACAACGTGGCTGGGTAAAATAGTTTCAAAAATTGCTCCTTATGGAACTGTGCTAAAGCCTCGTCCTTTGTAACGTAACTGCTTTTAGGTCAGTGCTCCTACGACTAGCTAAAGACACGCATGGTGGTTAGCATATTCTCCCGTCCATGAATCCAGTTTTTATACAGTATGAAATTCCAGCCCCAATGGAAATACCAGGAGGTTGCAGTCAAATATTTTCTCAGTTGTGTAGAAATTTGATAACTGGAATGGCAAATTCGTGGGGGTTTCCTTACAGCACTGATCACGTTGTGATGGCTGACGCGAGAGGTTGACCAAGGGGAGCGCTGAGGACGAACCACAAAAGGGGAAAGAAGCAATGCAATACGCTAGTTGTTGGCCTAACCCTCGGTTTCGGTAAAGGGACCACTTAGGTGCTTCGCCATTGTACCTTTGCTGGGTGGGCTTGCCTTCGGACTGTCAGTAGCCCCCTACCCTAATGTGTGTCAAATACATGTATTCTGTCTGATTACTAAAGTTTTGGGGCGCTACACTAATATGGATTGAAATCGCATGAAAAGGAATACAATTTGGAAGTTATATAGTAGTTATGAAATTAAAGACAGCAAAGAACATTTAATCATAAATAGCTGCTTAAGTGGATCCAATAAGAGGAATGGGATAATTAATGGGCAATTTGACGCTCTCTTGAGGTGATGGAAGTGCAATACTTTCGAGCAACGAAAATCAACGGAAGCGTGTGTGTGAGCGGGATGGAAGAGACCCGGAGGATACTTTTAGTGGTTGACTTATACTGGTCACAAGATTGGAACATCGACAGAAATAACGATTTGCAGTAAATTTACAGAGGTGTTTACATGATACTCTTTAAAATGCAAATGGGATATTTAGAAATGGCCTACTGCAAAGAACTAAAAGAGTAGAGCTGTTATGAAAGTTACCTTTTGTTCACAAATTGCACCACCCACAATGCCTCATACGTAAGACTACTAAGTAACGTTACAAGTAGTTACAAAACAAAAGGGCATAAAATCAACGAGCACATTGATTGAACTTTAGTAACTTACCTATATGAGATGCTTGGCAGCATTAAGTGCTGCTAGAGTAAAGTATATAAGCGCATCAGGTGCCGATGCTAGCTTATGTGAGTGCTTCCTAAGCTCTTTTACTGAATCAGAAACGAAAGAAAACAGGCAAAGGTAAATTATTTAACCACTGCCTCTTCGTAGGCGCAGACGTGGATGCAAACCCGCTAAATAGCAGCGTTACCTATCTGCTCATCTACTTTTACACGCGTCAGTAAAGTATAAGGCTTCTAGAAAGAGATGGTTACCTATTCGAGATGTAAGAGCCTACTGCAAATTTGGATAAATTTAGTTCGGATGAGTTTGCATGACGAAGGGATAACAATTCAGTTAAATTGAGGAGCAATTTAGGCTCGACTAATAGCTGTCTCATTAACCCTTAAAACTTTCAAGTGCAGCTATTTTAAGCGAGTTCGCTACGTGCTCTGGACAGGGCCACAGCTCTGACCTCGTCCTCACAGAGCATAAAACCTATGGCTGATTGAGTCAAAATATGCGATCCACTGTTTAATAACGTCAAATGGATATTTTATTACCAGGCTTCAACTCTTACAGTCAAGTCTAAGTCAATGTTTCATCTTCTTCAATTTTGAAACTAAAACGGTAGCAAAGCGTCATAGTTTATAAGCTTACACAAACGATGGTTTCGTTACGCCTCAAGTAAAATTCCAATAATACTTTTGCGCTCTCTTCATTTGAAGCATTCACTGAAGAAATGACGTTTCTTCCGTCAAATTACCCAAATGTTGAGTTCGTGGTCTTTCAGGATATTAAAATATGGATTGTATGCTTAGTAGTCGCTAGCATTCAGGAAGAGTATAGGGCTCGTCAAATCGTTGGATTAAAAAATCTTGCCGATAAGTCTGTTTCCACCAATTACTTTAAAGCCTGAGTGAAATCCTTGGTCCTGAGATATTGTTATCGGATGCTGACTCATTTTCGCAAACATCGTGGCAAACAAAAGTGTAATCGAAACATGCGCCCCATTATGGCCGACACTTCTTTAAGTAGAAAGGACAATTTTTGTGCACCTTGTTTGAGTCAGACCAAACATCGTAAAGGGGCCTTAAAGATTGCAATTCCCCCCCATGATGAAGATAGATTTATCTGCCCCTCAGTAATATGTTGATGGCCATTATAGGGCATAACTCACGAATATGATATTTCACGCTGACTGTAAGCCAGCTTGCGAATTAATGCTTGTTTTATTACGTAGTAAAACAAGTATCTAGACATCTTCAAAAGTTATGCAATTTAGCAGTTTTTATTTGAACGGTAAAATTTTAGTCAAAGAGAATGCTTTCTCAACAATATCAATTCCTAGAGTATTGAATCTGGCAAATTTCAATTCAGCGAAAGGTGGGTTCTCTTAGTCAATATAGAGTGGAGCGAATCACAGACGATAAAAGACTTTAAAAGTTGAATAGAGAATAGGGAATAAGGCCTTCTTCACCGATGGACTAAGTAGATTTACTTGTCGTCGCATCTATCAGCGTTATATTGATAAGGTTGACTTTGCTTAGTCTTTTTGAATAGAATTTGCTGCAGCGTTGAATAGCTATGCGGAAAAGGAGCAACATTTAGTTAATCAGGTCTGCGTTTTGCATACGCTCCAAGTTAACTCAAACACAGCTTGACAAATTGGCCACGACAAAAGCTGCGATCGCTGTCTTGTTACGGGCGTAAAGCGAGTGCTTGCTGCGTCTCCACTGCAGATACACGACTTGCAAAGTCATTTATACTACGGTGCAAAATGGATAAGGAGGGGTGAATACCCTATCTCAGTTCGTTTTATAAATTAGGTTGAATGTTGGTAAAGACCCATGCAAAGGAAAAACTTTTGGAACTGCATTATACGCTTTGCAAAGCTAAAACTCTGTCATTTTTGTATTCGGCAGCTCACACAACTTGGATGTATGGCATAGATTTCCACGCCATGAAGTTCGATTTAATTCTAGTGTGTATTTTTGAATTTATTTTGCAGTTTTTCCACTTGATTCTACTGGTTCATAATCAGTTTTCCTCTTCAGTGCCTAGTCAATTTGTTCCTTTTTGTTTGAAATTGCGAATTTGGCATAAGGCTGATGTTTTGATGCGCGAATGAACTGATCAGTCCTGGGTTAACCTAATTGTATGTGCGCCACTTAAACGGACATAAGCTACAGTGTGGGCTTGGATATAGCTCTATTGTTTATGCTGATCAAGAGGGGCTCATCTGTGCTTCAAAGTCATTACAAGTGCACGTGTGAAATGACGCGGGAGTAATCAACACTACCCAAAGTTGACGTAACAAGCGGTTTCTTACCTGATGATATGAATCTACATTGTTAAGTGAATTATTGGCGGGCGCATCATTGTTAATGCCTAAATGGTGCACCTACGATACAGTATGTAGGTAGTTTAAATCTTACGAAATGTCGCATCCGAGGTAAATAAACCCATATTCTTGTTTAAAAATTGCCCACTTTAGCCTCCAAAAAATACAAATACCACCCATTGAGGAGAGCTTAAAGTGAAGCTACTTATATTTAAGAAATATACTCGTTACAGTACCTTATAGGCCATTATACACCAAAATCCTAGTTGCTTGTGATGAGAACTTTAAATGAACTGCTTCCCGGATGTTAGCTGCATTCAGCTGTCCAGCACAAACGAAATCTCATTCAAGATTAATGTCAATTCGTTAAATAGTAGTGGCAGTTTCAGACATTGCTTTGGGAACCACAATCATTCTTTGTGAGCTACATCTAATTTAAATGATTTTTATCATCTGCAGTAACTGTCGCATGTCTACTCAACCAGATTGTACGCAGTGAATCTGGAATTTGTTCAGGCCATGCATATTCCTAGTTAAATGAACAAATAGAGATTTGTAGTAGTAAACTCTCAAACTATTTTGGGTCTCGTGATATGCGTCAACCGGTTGGGTAAACACAGTACATCATCAGACTACGCACTGATTTTACAACAAAAGCTGTAACTTTGGTCAATTGTATGCTAAAATTCGTCTCCAAGTGTGCTTGTTTTCAGACATCCATTTTGCTACGATTCAATGTCCACCTACCACAAATGGAAGCAATTGATAGTGGTGGCAAATTAAGCCCTTTAATTTTAATGAATTATAACTGCAATAATTGTCGGTGCTATTGCCATTTTTGTTTTCACTTTTAAGTTATACAAATCTACGGATTCAGCATTATCTGAAGTCCACCAATACAAATTCTTACAGTGTGTAATAAATGATAGTGAGTGTATTAAGTGGAAAGAATGTAGTAAACTATCGACGAAAATGTTTATTGTAAGTCAGTCGTTCATTCATATTAATTCCTTTAATTTATGTAGTACCTTCATTGCAGTAAATAAGTGGCAATTTGTTTCACCCAGATTTAAAACGCCTCTTCTTGCAATCAAACCAAAAGTCCATGCTGCCCAGTTCTCTAGGCACTTCCTAGTTCCTTTCACGCAAGAACTCAAACGTACCACCATAAGTACCATAAAGTTGTCTCGTGCTTCTGTTATATTAACCAGATTTGATATGATGCTAATCAAACTTTCACGTTTTGAGATAACACGGATACAAAGCCGCATCAGATGGACTTGCCATTCTGGATTGCATTGACTTAGATTGCACGAACATCAATTTGATTCCCTATAAGTCGTCATATTGGGAGCCTCGAGTTGATTTGGTTTTGATATGAGGTGCTCGTGTAAACCTTTATCTTGCCACAAACTTGAAATAGTTGCAACAGCTAATTGACCTACTATATTATTCGTTAAAATTCTGACAAGCGTTTTTGATTAGGTCAAATAAGCACTACTTTATGATGTAAGTAAATATGTGGTGCAACAGAATGATTTGAACACTTTTTAAGGATGCAGTATATTCCTAAAGTAGGTGTTAAGTCATCAGACAAAAAATCCTTCGGACAATAAGGTTTTACCCAATTCTGTCATTTTTATCATAACTTGAAGGAACTTGAAAGTGCAAATTCACGATTATGCCTCTTTGCCATCAATTATTATTGATAAATAAATTTTCACCAAGTAAGTTGAGTTAATTATGATCTTAAAATGAAATCCAAGTAAGCGTTTTTTGTGTTATATACTCTAGTATTTTCATGAAACATCATTACTTTATCAAACACTTTCTAATAATTGCAATCAGAATGGAAGGCTCGGGGGAGGGGTTTAAAACACCATAATCCTTGGTTTTAATCCAAAACTATGCCTTATTCTCTAAAAATAGGCCTAAACTACAAAACAGGTTGAGGAAAACAAAAACGGCAATGAATTTGCATTGTTAATTTAATAATCTGCCATCATTTTTTGTTTTCTACCGTTTATTTAGCATTTCCATCAGTTGTTTATATTATTGTGGGCAAATGATGCTAAAGCAGTCGTAATAAGTCATACCATTATTAAGAGAGGTTTATTGTCAATAATACAGAAGAGCCAGGAGACTAATAGGAACAGCCAGAGGGCCAGGCGGTAGTGCAAATTGTAGGGACCACAAAGCGTATGCAGTTTAACACAGGTCATGCAGTATGTCAAATTATTAAAATGTGTATTCTGAAAAGGTAAGTAACAGAAGGTTATGCCTGAATAGCGATGACGAGCCAGGTGGCATTAAACCAGAGTTGCATCAGAATGCGTCACCCAACTTCTCCGCGTGGTTAAGCTGCAGGCGGTGCCTTCATTTCTTGCGAGTTTGGTGATGGTACGTTTTACGATGGGTGGCGGTCTAGTATAAGCTATCAATTTATACTGATTTGGATAATTTTTCCATTTGCTTACTAACTAGTAATGAAAATAAATTTCTTCCACTCGCCTTTAAGAACATTGGCTACAGGATAGAGAATGATGGGTGGGTAAAATAAATAAGTACATATTGCATGTATTCAGACCCTTAATGGTATATTTTTAGAATAAATAGCAAGACTGAAAGTGGTTACTTTCACGTTTGTTCGGCTTCCACATATGTGTGCAACAACATGATTTTGTCCTTTCTTCTGATGGCTTTTGCCGTGCATTAGCTTTCTTGACCCCGCTAAAAAAATTGCTGTGAGGTAAACAGGACGAAGGATGGGGTTTTAAACCTCTTTCTAAAAAAAGCTGTGGTTCACAGACGTTTTCTTCATTATCTCCTAAAGTAACTTTAACAATTTATCCACCAAATGAACTCCACAAAACAGAATGTGCCAAAAAACCAATATAAAGAGAAGGCTAACCTTTTGTGAGTATTTAAAATGATTAGATTTAGCAGCGGTAAAATCCCATCTTATTACTTCATGTATTTACTCCCAAGTATCAATTTTCAGGCTCTGAAGTTGGTAAAATGACACTCATGCATAAAATAAGTCATATGCAGAGAGCTAAAAGTAGAATTTTAACGTGCGGCAGGAACCGATTGAGGTGAAACACTGAGAGAAGGGTCTAGTGTCAGTTAATGGCAGGCAGTTTGAAGTTGGACGGAGGCTCAGGCACCTTGACCCTGACTTGGTAGAGAACGCAGTCGGACTTGCGATTAATGATGATGACGGAAAAGGGCTGGTTCACTGTGAAGGAATGCACCTCCTTTGCGTCCCCATCCCCCGGTGGTCCAAGGATTGGCACCTCAAAGAGATCAGGATGCTTAAACTTGTGGCGACCCGTCCCCAGACTGAGAGTACCCACCGAAAAAAGTCGGACCCCGCTTCTGGAGACCTGCAGGAAGGCCGACTCCTTGCCGCTATCGATGCGCAGATTTTCAACATCGCTGATGCCTAAATAAAAGACAAAGAGGCAAGCGTTAAGCTTGTATCAAGTACTACCCATTTTCGTTTCTAGTCACCTAAAACCATACTTTTCAATAGCTTTAGCTTTAGCCAATTAGCAACAACTTTCTTTAGCTTGAAAATGACATTTCACATATATTTAAATGTGGGGCCTTTTTGTATGCACTAACGGTGACAGACTCGCCAAGCAAACCAAGAACTTTTCTTTCACACTTACAATCTTATCTCCTATTTAGTATAAAACATGTGCATTAAGACCGTGCTGAGCATAAGTGCGGCTGCACGTGTTTTTCTGTAAGGGAGCAGGACTGTTTGTGCGTTTACACTAGAAATTCGCGATTTGTTTGCTTGGAAGAGCTATGATTTCGTGGGCTGGGTAGGGTAAACCTACCAGAAAAGTCGGCCTGGTTAGAGTCGAATGGATTTTTCATGCCGAGGAAGGGCAAGGCCTTGCAGAGGTCCACCTCCGTTTGCACTCGGAACATAGGTATGATCACGTGCATGCTGCACAGCTGCACTCGCGAGCTATTGAAGAGACCGTAGTCCAGACCCTCTGTGAAGCCATGCTCTACCTCCGCGAATTTGTGAGGCACCAAAGGCAATAAAAAAACAATTGCGAATCGCGTATCCTGTAAATAAAAAAGAATCTCTTTACCATATTATTAATTCGAAGAATGTAAAGCATAATTTGTCTTTAAGGCACTTTTTGATAATCATGCCAGTGATATCATTTACACGATTTAAAAAGCCTTAGTATCCATTCCTAGCCATAAGTCACGTGAACGCAGAGTAAAAAAAGTACCTGTCAGTTATGAGAAAACTCAATTTGCTCTTAACTGCACTTAACTGGCAAAAACACTTCGCATAGAGAAATTCATGTCTTCGCTTATAAAATAAAATATATAGCACCATTATGAAGTCACTATTTTATGGCTGGTTCTAGCGTTTCAATCCATTGTAATTTTCATTCATTCGGAGCGCAGAAAGCAAGCGTTTATTGCAGAAGCAAAAGCATATGAAACGTGCATCGAGAATCTGCTATACTGTAGGAATCCGATCTGCATGGCCTACTCCGATATCCCAGCATGCGCAAGATTGGCAACTCTCTTCCCACGTCTACTTATCTTTTGTGCTCTCACTCGACTCTGCTCTAGCTGTCGCCGAAGCCAGAGCTTGCTTGGGCTTGTATACAGATGGTAAAACCTTTCAAGATACTCTCTGGGCAGGACAGTTTCTACTTCTGATGAGAGTAAGATGATATTGGTAAATTTGCAGACACCATTTTATTGCCTTCAACTAAATGACATTTCCTACTTTAAGGCGGGACTGAGTCGTTTGAAATTTTGGTTGCTAATTTCATTGGTACTTTTCTGTAATCATGGCAGTTCTCTAACCTATAGTTAGGAAAAAAGTCTCACTCACCTTAAATGGAATTCCAACTAAATGGAAGCCTTTTTTGGTATCTTTGTAGTAAATAACCTCTGCTACAATGCTGAGCATAGGAATATCAATTCTTGTGTTTGGAGATACTTCAAATGATCCCTTGGAACTACCGTAGAGTTCCAAAGGTTGAGCCCACTCGCCTAGAACAAAAAAAGAAAACAAGTTTGGAAGCTTGAAAGATTTCTTAACCAATTCATATCTTTTCCTTTAGGTTTCATAATCCTTGACATTTATTGCTTACAACGCTGTAAAACATTTTTTACCTTTAAATTGCAATGCGGTGGCAAGTACGAGAGAGCCGCTGCACTGTTTTGGAAAATTGTGAGTAAATAAACCCTTTGACATTTTGGATACCCACTTTTGAGCATGAGCAAAATCCTTTCGTGATGTCTGAAACGGTCATTAATACTTCATCGATGTGCTTTTAAACACAAAAGCAGGTGAAGCACTGTCTGATTCGACATAAAAAAAAGGTTAGGGCAAGCATGAGGCCTGTCTTAAATTCCTATCAAAAGGAATTTTATAGACGTTTTTTTTATTTTCAATTCTTTGAATGACTTTAACAATATAAGACGGGTAAATAGATGAGCAGGTGTGCGATTCTAAACAATATGACTCTTTCAAATTTTTTCCTTTGAAATTCACGAGGCGGTCATTCAAAGGTTCCAGTCTTTGATAACTTTTTGTATTTTTTGTAACTTTTTTGTAACTTTTTGCATTGAAATCAACTAAATATTCAACGAAACTTAAAGCATCTCTTGCCTACCTCAGTCCAGATAACACCCATGCGGTTGGTGATCAGCCAGTAAAACTCAGCCTTGAAGGTGAGGTCGTTCATTGGAACAAAAATGGCGGACTGGAATCGGCAGAGGCGTCCTTCCTCAAGGCGATCAAGCGGTATGTCTCTTAGACCCGCAGTAGAGAGCAGAGCCCACTCGTTGAGGGCGCTGTCCACGAGGTTGATGCGTTCGGTGACCGCGTCCCGTGAGTTCGTGGGGCTTAGTGCCTGTGTGATCTGGTCCGCACTAGTGCCTCGTGCCGCCTTCGAGCCCACCAATACTGTCAGGAGAAAGCGTATCGTTGTCGGCGACTGGCCCGACTTTTCAGTGATATCTGATGATAACAAGAAAAGAATAATCTTAACAGTAACACTTTCATTCGCCACCTTTTTATAAACTTACAAGAACGTATTTATAATGTGCACAGACAAACTAGAGGTTTCGCACTAGCCTATGTTCAATGTGATTATTCATGCAGGTACAAAATTCATCTATATCCCTTTGGCATTAGGTTAAAGGCAAACATGTAACACGCCACTATGAAAAGTTAATAAGATTAAAAGGGAACTAAAACTGCATATATGAAAACAGAAACATGCCACGGTGAAACGATTATCAGTCCAAGGCGATTTGAAGCTTATACACTTTGTAAAGGTAAGAAAACACAACTCGTGAGACAGAATTGCTTAGAGCTCACCGTTAATGGCATGAACACCAAGACAGTATTTGTTGTTGAAATCCCTGAGCTTCAGAAAGTCGACTGGATTGACTTTAACGCTTTTCGGAACCGTCGATTTGAGTCTGAATAGAAAGTTATAGCAATAATTATACAAGCAACCATAGTGTCAACAGTAATTTTATTTGAACGGTATCTTAAAAAAAATAAAGAAAAGTGGGTATTGTCATCAATGCATATACCTGAATTTTGAAAGTCAGTGCAATGGACAGTTAAATTACCCGTCTTTCTAAAAGGTTACTTGTGTAAGTTTTGAAAAGGCGCATGCATTTTATATGTTGGCATGTCAAAGTTATTCGGATATTTTTTAAGCTATATGAACACATTTGCAATGTGCTTTACGTCTTCAGTGCACAGCGTATTGCCAGAGAAGGATCGACTAACCTCTCAGGCTCAGGTGCAGCTGCCTTTTCTTTGTCTTTCAAACGTTGAGGAACCATACTGACGCGAAGATACGCACTACCCACAGCGTTAGAAGTTTTTATACTTCTTTATGCAAGGTCACTCTCGCTGCTTCTCGGAACTTCTCAATGTGAGATATGATTTGAGTGGGTGAGTTTTCGCATAGAAATCTGTGCATGATCAGCACCCTTGTGCAGTTGGATTCTACTTAAAAGCTATAAAGCTGTCTTAGCCCTACATTTGCATTTGAAATGATTCTTGGTGGTAATCTAATACAGCCTACATGTATTTTGAATGATGTTTAGTGTAAATTGAAGCATGGAATAATGAATTATTCATTCATCCAAATAGTTGAGAGAAAGCATAAAAACAATCCTTCACCCTTACAGCAATAAGAAAATAGTTGTTAGATTAAAAGGGCAGCATCGTCTTATGAAATATGAGTACGTAATTTAACACTTTGAAATGTTGAAATCTTACCCACTGTAATTGTAGGAGAGTAATCAAATCGCCCCACACATGTGGGGATTCACCAAAAGTCAAATGCCTAATGCATGATGTGGGTTATTGAGGCTTAATTGAATCAACGAAAGACTGAATTTCACAATTGAGTGCCATATCATTTTTCCTAAAATTACTGTTAGTTTTGTGCCTTTTTCGTGTCCTTTCCTGATCCCAAGCATATCGTTTCTTTAATGGGCTACTTAATCGATTATGAGCTTGCTGGTCATCGCAAAGCATGCTTAGACGTAAAAGCGGGATGGCAGTTGCACACGGCACTCAGACCTGGGATGGCCCAGCTCATAATGCGTATTTTAGAGTTTTGTTATTAAAAAGAGCAGGCAATATGATCGTGGGATACGCTGTTGCGTGATAGTTGGGAGACGTGACTGCTTTATCACCCACTGGTAATGCAATAATGAAAAGTCCATGTAATCTCTCTCATGGACCCAAATGCAGCGTCAACACAACGTCAATTCTAATGGAGGTCAGCTAAAATATCACTGTTTTATCATCTAGCCTGATCAAAAAATCTGTTCAACATGTTAATAGCATTAGGCGTAGGTAGTGTTCTAAATTCAGTTGCGCAATTCGCTCCAGTGGCGCCATGAGAAGGGGTTTGTAGTCATATTTACGTGATTAGTTGAATTATCGACTTAATCTTTAAAAATTTGGTGGAATTGACAAATGTCAATGTAATACGATAGTGGTTTATCCCTCGGTATTGGTGAGGCGCCACTTTTGAACTTTGAATT